ATGAATATTTTAAATATCAATCCAAAAAAAAAGAATGCAATTATACTCTTTGTTCAAATTGAATAGTTTTTTTCTCTGTAATTTCAAGTTCTTGACGAACAAGATCAATTTCACGTTCAAGTGAACGTTGTTGAATAATAGAAAATAATTTTGTTTGTTCAATATCTGATATATTTTGTGATTTTTCCATCTAATATTATTTAAATTAAATTTTATTATTTTTTGTTTTTAAATTTTAATAATACATACTAAATATTTTAAAAGATCATTTTCTTCTTGTTGTGAAATAAATTTCAATTTAAATTCAAGTAATTTCATTTCTGTTTGTTGCATAGTTTCAAATACTAATTGATGTATAGATAAAGATGATAATGTTGTTGTTGTTTTTTGTTGATCCAATTTTTGATTAATATATGTTACAATATAATCAAGTTTAGAACGAAATGTTTCAATTTCATGTTGTATTTCAATATTTTGTTCCATAAATTTTTTTGATAATTCTTCAGCTTCTAATAAAATATAGAATTGAATTAATTAAGTATTTCTATTCTCTATGAAAAATTTCAAAATACAAAAAACAAAAATTAGTCTTTCTCATATTTAAGAAATGATAAATTAATATTATTATATTTGTTAGAATATATCTGAGAATAAAAGTGAATGTTTTATCTCAAAAGTATACAAGTCAACATATATTTATCAGTATTTTAGTATCATTAGAAGATAATAAGAATGAAGCAAAGATCTTCTATAGAGAATTTTTTACTATAATCTTGATATCAAATATCAATTTTTTTCTAGGAATGATAAATTTACATTTAAAAAAAAAAAGAATTGCTAAAATTAGAAGTAACTTAACAGGAAAAAGGGAATTACGATATTGAATTACAAGCCTACCGTAAGAATATAACATTCTCCGTTTAATAATGATCTTTAATTCTAACCGAGAATTTTTTTTTTCTTCTCTTCTTATGTCCATTATCAAAACTATAGTTGGGATATATTTAGTGTTTAATTCATTGAAGGATTTCTTTCGTTAGTAAATGAACTTAAGTAATAACTGTCTCATTCGATCTTATTGTTTAACCTCAGACGAATCCGTACAACTAATTATAATAATAGTTGAGAAGTTCGATATACGATAGTTTTTACTAAAGATATATCTTCTTTGTTATTCGATAAACAACAATAAAAAGTATAAAATAGAAGAAACCATCAACTACGACATTATTATTATTACATGTAACTAATGTCCATTTCAGAGTTAAATGGACGTGAGCATTTTTTGAATAACTTTTGATAGGAACGAGTTAGAGATCTCCGTGTTTTCATCGTTGGAAAGAGCAGATGAACACGCATCGAATTATATATATAGAAAGATTTTTCTAAGTACTTTCTTATAAGTTTTATATAAAACTTCAAGAAAAACAGCATGCTTCTCATAGTCATGATATCAACTTGTTGATTTTCAAGAGTGCTCTAGAAGGGCCAAAAGAAGAGCTACAAAACTATATCAAGACGCTGTTCCGAACTACTACCAGTATGATATGTAAACCATCGGAACACAATTTACCACCTCATTTTTTTTCAACAAAATAATCGAAAAATGGAAATTTTTGTCGTATTTTGATAGAAAAGCCAATTTTTTAACATAGGAGAAAAAAGCAATTCTTTGAAAACTTTTGACTA